CAAAATGCTATTTTTTTCTAATAAATAATTTTCTGTCTTTTACAGAGTATGTATTTGTAAGTGTTGTAAGCACATAAAAATGTACATAATAAACATGAAATGTATCACATGAACCATAATTGTCCTTGTTTTTAATAATTGTAGGATTAAAAAATAATAATTTAAGCATATATTAAGATTATACCCAAATAAATATTTGAATGCATTTGTATATACATGCATGACAAACAATTATTATTTCTCAAGTTAATATTTTTTTATTCTTTATATATACGTTTATGCATATTCTAATACACAAAATGAGTTCAGACTTTCTCAGACTTTAACTGTCACGCTCACACCTTCCATCATGCAGATTTGTGTATGGAAGTAACCTAACTTTTCACAAACTAAAGAAAGCATTTTGTGAACTCCCCCATAAAGTTTGCCTTGCACGGAGCAAAGTTTATTGCAGCAAAGTGCTTTGCATATAGTGGTCCAACTCCCATTTGAACTATTTGGCCTATTTAGTCAAGACTCAGAGAAAAGGCATTTATAAAAGAAAAAAGATGTGTCTAAAATAGGGGAACAGATCATACTCTAATGTGTGTTCAACAGTGTAAGAAAAAGAAATCGGCCTGTCCCTGGGTGGGAACTGGATGAGAGCCAGCGCAGTCGAATCTGGTATTAATCAGAACCACACAGAAAACATGGCTTGTTTCTATGTGATTCCCATTTAAGGCAGTGCAATGGGAGTTTTAGTGGAAGGCTTGCACACCATCCGTCTGCAATGCTCTTGTGCATTCAGAAACATGTAATATATCAGTCATTATTACTGACTGACCAGCCGGTTCCATCTCAGGCATAATAGATTTAAATAAATGTACTCTGCAGATGTGACACATCTATTTAATGTCTAGCACATGAAAGCTTATGGTACATGTGTGAGTGGTAACAGTGCCAGCTCAGAACACGGATTCCCAAAAAGTCATGAAGCATTCTGTAAATTCAGCAAGCTTTAAGATATCTCCATCATCTCTGCTCCATCTGAGTCGCTGCCTTTCAGTGTAGCCTTTACTCTAGTTCAGTGTTGTTCTGACAGCAATAGTGAGGCTGACTGGAGAGCCGCAGATAAGAACGCAGCAACAGGTCAGCTTGCAGGAAAAAGCCCGTACCCTTAACATACATGCTAGTGTGAAAGAGGCAATGAGTCATGCGGCCCAGTTTATTTTCTCTGGAGATTCGAATGTGACTTATGAATATTTTCCCTGCAGGAATGAAAAGCAAATTTAAACACACTTGAGTGATGAACGAGATCGCTGTCACCATATTCCTGTTTTGCGCTCTGTTTGTTTAATGTTATTGTATGAGGCTGGCGTCAGAGGGGTTACATAGAACATGACTGGGAGAAAATGACAGCAGTTCATTATATTTGTGTTTATAAAGCTATAAAGACCACACAACTGTGAATTACTGTGCCATTTTTCATGCAAATGTGAGTTTTGGATAATTGGGTCAAAGATATGATGCTCAGTTTCGCCCATGAAACCAAAGCTTA